TCAAATTAAATGTAGCATTTAAGGGAGGTCTCTCGTCTCAAATGTCAAGTTGTGTTGTTGGCTCTTGATATGATTGTTATTTCACAAGAATCTGGGTTGAAAAATTCGAGATTTTCGGATAAATCTACCTGCTACTGGGCTCCGTTGCATTAAAGGCCATTAATTAAGGTTATTGCTCGCTGACAATTTATGGCATCGCTATGCCGGCTGATTTATTGAATAGTCAATGAATAACATTTTATAGGAACGCTTCGGTATTTCGGTATTTTACTTTTAAAACAATTGAAACATTCAAACTGGCAGGTTTACTAAATTACCTGTTTCGGAAATGTGAAACAAAGAATTATCGTAATGCATAATGGTGTGTGGTGCTTGAACTTGTTCGATATTCGAAAATAGTGCATGGCCGGCCTGCGTCGTTGTGCGTCAAGGGATTTGGGTCACACGCTTATTGACGGCAACGCAACACTCTGGGCCAAGGCCGCAAGCCCCCGGGACTGCATTTCAACTTTGCTGTGTATGGTTTTTATGCACTAACACTCAGCCTGCCGACATGCTAAATACGTTCCTTTTCAAGTAGATCGATTGGCTAAAAAACTTTTGGTCAACAGATGGTGAGCAATGCTTAATTGCTGAAGTGCCTAAACAGTTTTCAGTTGAAGATTATTGTAACAAAAAAAAAAACGGTCAACCGTTATCCGCTTCCGGTGCAATCATATTCCACGGCACTTTTAGAAACAAACTCAGGTTATCGGTCATGAAAAATCTTTAAGCGTTTACGGAAAATAATTAGTTTAAATGCATGTAAAGAAAAACTTTTTTTTTTCATGTAATTTTTATATAAAACTTTTTTTTTTTTTTTTTTTTTTTAAAAGGATTTTTCTTATTTATATTGATTGTCATTGCGAAAAAAGACGAGTTCAGTTTTATTTAATTCAAGAATACTGTGTAAAATAATGTTGTTTTCTTAATATCGTACAGAAAACGCAATTAATTCTTTTATTATTGCTTAACCAATTTTAGAATATTCCATACCATTATAATATGTATGCATACGTTAAAATTCTTTATTTAAATCAAATAACAGCGTGTGAGTGTGTATTAAGTTGATGTCATTATTGTTTTTTTTTTTTTTTGTAAATTTCGAATTTCGAATGTCCTTCAAGTCGGGCATACCTGTGCACACGACGCGACGCGGGCAGCTGGTGGCGCGGCGCGCGTCCGTCGCGTGCCTCCGCCGCACGGGCGAAGCCGAGCGCACACGAAGCACCTTACCTTATCACGACGAAATGTGCTACGGCATTCGTAGATTCGAAATTTGAATAAATAAATATGTAACACCGTTCCTAATCTTAATCTATCAAATTGAGTTATGTGGGCTCGCTTGATGAAGTTCTATAGGTATACCTAGTTATATACATTGGGGCGTCGTTTTTCGTATCGAGTGAAACTTTGCAGGCTTATAGTTAGTATTCTCCTGACTGCCGAAGGTCGTGTTTTCGATTCCCACGTCAAGCAATTCGTGTGATGAACAGGTTTGTTTGTTTGCAGGGAATCCTAATCTGAGGTCGGATGACTGTGCGTGATTGGTTTCCAGTTATTATTATTATTATTATTTATTACTCCGTAGAACGTTTGTAAAATAGTACTGTCAATGTGAGATAATATGTGGCGAGGGAGTTTTTTTTTAGAAACCTATGTATATCAATAAATTCAGCGAGAATCACAGATAAGCATGGCTACGGTTCTCTAGATTTTTTAAATAAGATAAATAAGTTTCATTATGATATGAAGTAACATATTTTTAAAACTATTAAAAAAAGCTATTTAGCGTATGTGAATCTATGAATATTTCAATAATTATGCTACCAATAATAAAACATTATTTCTTAAAAATCCAATTCAATATTCACGCTAAATATATCATCGCTTAATATCAATGATAAACGTTCTCATATTACAAATTATACAAAAACGAATCAACACTCAACGTAGTATGAAAGTATTAATTAGTTTAAAACTATGCTCATACAAAATAGCGTACATCAAAGTAGCGTCTAACAAGACAGGATAACGAGGGGCAAGCTAGTCGGAGACGGATGAAATGTGCTTTTGAGTGCAACAACTATTAATGCGAATAATTGGAGTGTTAAAAAAAAAATTAAACAGTACCCGAGGAGTCTAACGGATGTGAGCGAATACGACGCGTCTAGTCATTGAATTCGCGAAACGAGTTCAATAATTATTAGCAGCCGCGGAAACATCCACCCGTCATTGTGGGCTCCCTATAAAATTTTCAAAAATTATTATTGCTTTTTGATTTCGATGGGCGGGCCGCGAACGTGATCCGTACCGATTGTCTTCTTCAAATTAATAGCAGCATGTTTCGGGGGAGACTGTTTCGCGTATTTCACGTGTTATTATTTCGTTTTTTTTTTTTTTTTCGTGCAAAAATGTAATCTGAGTTGAAGCACGTGTGTAAAAAAGCACCTTTTGTTATTCCAATTTCGCAATATAGTTTGCTTCGTTTGTGGTCTACTATACGGCGGTATGTTCGTGTTATTATATACAGAATGCAAAGCTACGTGCATTTGTTAAGTACAGTAAATAATTTATTACGGATATTTTTGTTTTATTAACGAGAAGTAAGTTATGATAATCATTATGCTAAAAATGTACAGAGGTATATATATGTATATTAATTTATTGGTATGAAAAAATGTGTGCGTGTACTAGTGTACACACGTAAGAAGTGAAACATTAATGCTATCCCTACTCCGTTGGAGAAAGTGAAAGTACTCTTCGTCTGAACCAACCGTGGTAGGGGCAAGAAAAAGATGGCGCGTAACAGAAAAATGTGACGCGTAACCGAAAAATGTGACGGTAAATTTTTTTCCAACGCCGATAAGGAAGTTTCACTTCAAAAATTTGTGCGTGTACTAGTGTACACACGTAAGAAGTGAAACATTAATGCTATCCCTACTCCGTTGGAGAAAGTGAAAGTACTCTTCGTCTGAACCAACCGTGGTAGGGGCAAGAAAAAGATGGCGCGTAACGGAAAAATGTGACGCGTAACCGAAAAATGTGACGGTAAATTTTTTTCCAACGCCGATAAAGAAGTTTCACTTCAAAAATTTGTGCGTGTACTAGTGTACACACGTAAGAAGTGAAACTTGTTTATGGCCTTATTTTTCGAAAAATGATCTACATGCAACTTTCTAGAAATTGGTTAAATAAAGTTAAATTAGATAAAGTTTAAACAAAAGGATTTTATTATCATAGACATGAATACAAAAAAGATGGCGCGTAACGGAAAAATGTGACGCGTAACCGAAAAATGTGACGGTAAATTTTTTTCCAACGCCGATAAGGAAGTTTCACTTCAAAAATATGTGTGCGTGTACTAGTGTACACACGTAAGAAGTGAAACATTAATGCTATCCCTACTCCGTTGGAGAAAGTGAAAGTACTCTTCGTCTGAACCAACCGTGGTAGGGGCAAGAAAAAGATGGCGCGTAACAGAAAAATGTGACGCGTAACCGAAAAATGTGACGGTAAATTTTTTTCCAACGCCGATAAGGAAGTTTCACTTCAAAAACAATTATTTTTCACTTTTAGAATCGAGATAGTGATGTACAAAAACTATGATATTATCAAAGGTTTTCCCGCTGATGGACTAATTCGGAATTTTAATATAACTCTGCATTAGAAATCAAAATATCATTCTGCACTGTTTAGTAGGTAGTAGTAGTAAAAACCTAGCCGAAATACGATTAATAAATAAATTATTATTAATACCTTAATTATGGGCTTACAATCTATTTTCACAAATACAAATGCTTGTTACAAGTAAATGTATCCTTTAGAATGATTAGCTAGATGTAATTGACAAGAACTTCTGAGCACTTTCTTCTCATCAATGCCGCTTATGAAGTTCATAGAATCTTTATATCTTTATTTAAATGACTAGTCTTTATTTTCAATAGAAGGGAAAACTGTTATCTGTGTTCGAAGCTTAAATAATGCAATTATTTATAACCATAAATGTAGTATAAGTATAGTAATGTATAGTTCCCGAACAAAAATATTTAATGATGTGAATTTAAGAAGTTGATTGTCTTTCTGTGGGTATTGAGGTAAAGGTGCAATGCATGCAAATTGCATGAGAAATAAGCGCCAAGAATAACCACTCACATCGAGAATCTTGAACATTTTTAATTTATTAATTTAATAGATATAGAATTGAAGGAACTAAACAAGCAAGTGAATATAACATTATAACAGGGTAATTGAAATCAAAATAGGCTCGTATTCAGGAATCATTTATTTTGATCTATTTACAAAAAAAAAAAAACAAGTGCTTAATAGTAACAATGGATCTTAATAACATCTTACATTATTAGGAATCATGCTTGTAATACTAATATTAACTTTATTAACTAAAAGTCTTTGTCTCATAGATCCTTACGTAAAGTAAGTTGTCTTTTGATCATTCCATTAAATATTTATAATACGGGCATTGGTCCACATACACCGAATTATAATAATATACCTAATACGAATTAAACAGCATTCTTAAAGATAATGACTAGATAACAATTGTATAGGCTATAATTTAATGGAAGTTTTACTATCTAACGTTAAAACTAAGGCACAGCGGTACTAATATAACTTTAAATGCTTGTACGGAACAAGTGATCGTTTCAGTCTTGGAGCTGCTATTCCATTGATGTATGAAATGCAGCGTTCGTTCGAAGTTAAGTCGCTCGACGGAATGCGTCGATGAGCTCGTCATTGTCCACCATTATCCCCACTCATTAGGAATATACTGATTACGCTTAATTAGAGGCTCTCTCGGAGTCCCTCGCGCTCCATCGGGTCTCCCTTGAGGAATACTCGTTTTTTTCATAATCACCAATCGCCGCTCAATGGCCCCACTTTGTTCACTGCAAGGCTCGTTCCCTGGAGAAAAAAAAAAAGAAAAACAATNTCGTCATTGTCCACCATTATCCCCACTCATTAGGAATATACTGATTACGCTTAATTAGAGGCTCTCTCGGAGTCCCTCGCGCTCCATCGGGTCTCCCTTGAGGAATACTCGTTTTTTTCATAATCACCAATCGCCGCTCAATGGCCCCACTTTGTTCACTGCAAGGCTCGTTCCCTGGAGAAAAAAAAAAAAGAAAAACAATTTCATTAAAATCGTTAACGTCATCCGAAAATTCCGATCGAAAAATAAACTTCAGAGCTATGTATGATAAACTTGAAAATCGAGTCACGGCTAAGCTGCAGTCGAGCGATATAATTCCCATGAACCGAACTCGTATCACCAGATGTTTGTACAGTGCTTAGCAAATATTGTAACACGTGTGCTTCGCTCGGCGCCCTTCTATTTCCTCTCGAGATTTAGTCTTCCGGTACAATAAATTAATAGGCCCAAGTTTTTTGCGAAACCAATTTAAGTTTTTACGAGAAGCGCTACCGTTCCGTCTCTGAAGTCGATTCGGACCATATGTTGAAATCATTTTAATCCACAACTGACCGGATGAAAATACTTTTGTATCAATAATGGGCACGATCTTTGTTCTTGGAACCTCGGAACGTATACAATGATATGTTATTAGAAAATAACACTTTTATGTGCAATTTTCTCACTACATGCGGGCCAAACCACAACATTCTTAGATGTAATTACTCTATGTCTTGTGAAGGAAATAAAATATGTATAATACAATGCGGGTCCTATTTTTTAATAGAAAAAAGTGTCTAGCAATAATAGCTGGGTCTTCTTAAGGAGACTATATTTTAAGATTCGCTATTGTGAAAATTTTGCTATTGTATCTTTTAATGTAACAATGACAGATAAAGTCTATGTCACGGTTCAATGCTCGGGCATAATGGAAGACCTGTTTGCTTTTTGCTTAGGGGATGAAGGCAGACATTCATTGCACAATATAAAAGAATCTACGTAACCATGACAAACAGACCCGACAGAAAAACCTTAATGGTAGCTTCTACCTACCTGCTTTTATACTAAATTTTGATTAAATATAAAAAAAATGAACATAAATTTCGAGGTGTTTCTGTTTCCTCTAAAAGTTCGAATTTTAAAATATATTCTAATAACAAAATGAGATTGTATTTCCAAATTTTATATTAACCGTGGCGCGACGTGTGTAAACAACACGATAAGAAAATCCTTATCAAAGCTCTGAAGATTATGTAAGCACGTATAAGAATTCATTCATAAATTATCAAAGTTCTTTATCAAAGTTTAGTGAAACAAGATTAATGTCTAGGACATTTTAAAATTAGGTTAGTAAGACTCACCTTTGTCACTGTTGTTGCCACCACGATATGACATCAAGTAATTCCTCGTCTTCTGGACTCATGGGTTCGTAGGCATCGTATACGTCATGACAATTAGGCCCTGCAGAACTTTCAGACACGAATGAAGGGGCTGGAGAATGAGATTCTTCCGATGATGGTGGCGTTTGCGAGCCTGTCGTAGATAATCCAAGCCCTAATTGGGTATCTGAACATCCATCATCGCTTTCATCTAAAAGCCTCTTCAGGCTTTTAATGTACTCTACTGCGAGCCGTAAAGTATCTACCTTGCTTAATTTTCGGGAGGAACCTCTGCCGCCAGCAAGAGCAGCCGTCACAGCTGAGGGAATATGTTGTCGGAGTGCCGCAAATCCGTTGTTGACTTGTTTCACTCTATTCCGCTCTCGCGCATTCCTCCGGGCCACCGAAGCAGGCTGGGTTGGGTACGGCTGATGAAGATAAGATCTCTTCTTGCAGCGGGTCGTGTCAACTGGAGCCGGCGCAAGTCTCCTCGGTGTAGGCGTTTGCAGGTGCGTCAGTTTTTGATCGACACCCAGATTTTGATAGCCGTGAATCGCCGCCATCGGCATCGCGTATCGTGTGAAAACGTATCGTGTGTGTATCGAGTGCGCACGAGTCCGTGCCGCGCGGAGGTCGCCAGTGGATTGGCGGAGGTTGCGCGCACCCCCGACGCTAAGTAGCGCGCGCGGCGGCGGTGGGGCGCGTGCCGGACGCGCGCGCACGGGCCGCCGTCCCCCCGCCCCGCTACTTGTTGCTCCGATCAAAATATGCCGGCGCTTATTATGCCATAGAGCAGTAAGCTCGCGCCGCTATTGTTGCACGTCGTTGCGCGTAATTATCCCGTCCATTACCATGTTCGTAGGACGAGATCAGCTTGCGTCGTCTATTTAGAAGTCGTTAAGGAGAATAGGCACTGTAAAACGATCGGCGACGATATTGTGTTATTAATGTCTTGGTGCTTTTGTTATAAAAAATGAAGCGTGTATATATATTTTTTGCGTTGTAAAGCAATGCAAATGCGGAGATTGATTATTGTTTCTTGTTAACGAACCTAATTAATCACTGTGTTTTTTTACGGAAGTGCATCTAATGTTTTATAACAAAAATGTTGTACGTATTAGTAGATCAACTTTTTTTTAGACACGTCCCGTAAGTGATTCTAGTGTGAAAAGCGGAATGTAGCAGGTGTATGCGTCAACATCGTTCTAGTTCTACGAACCGCCGTCGGAATTTAATTTGACGTTTAACTTTATATGATAATGGGTAATTACAAAGATACTATCCAATTAGATTTTCTGCGTATGGAATAGGCCTTTGCGAAAATATTATTGGTCAAATAATAATCAGTCAGCCACATTAAAGGAAGCCGCGTTTAAGTCTTCGCCATCGTGAAACGAATTTCCTAGAATTCGGTCAGATTAGCTGCGTATTGTTTGAATAATCTTTTAAGTATTATTTCAATACCGATTTCCGTAACGAATAGTTAACGGAGCCATAATTACGATCCGCCTTAAGAACATAAGTCAAAGTATAATTTTCAATTGGAACAAAACATTGTATTTTATTTACAACTGAAACTTTTTTGTGGGTTTCGTTTATATAGAAAAAAATGCAGATATGATGTATTTTATGCCTTCGTGAGTTGTTCTTCTATCATGAAAATTATTGATGTACTCTTCACACAAAAAGTCATCTGAATAAATTGAATAAATAAAAAAATGAAAAGAAGAGGTCACAAAATCACCCCTCTGTAGGTACACTAACACCATCTATAAGCACCCTTATTTAAACGCTACTAAAATAGATGAAGGACAGCAACCCTATAAATAATTTCAACTTTTTCCTACAGATGGCGATTTAGTCTAGGGGTGGGTTTGACTATGGGGTGCAAGGTAAACATGAAATTTAGTTCCATGCTGTGTACAGAGATGGCGGTATTTTAGTTTTCTTTGCTATTTATTTGGATTGATTTTAATATTTTTAGTTTCATTTTTCAGCACTAATGTTTACAAGATTGTTATACGACAAGCTACCTTTACCTTTCGACAATATATTTTGTGGTTGCAGAGGATTCTTTCAGTGACTGCCACTCAGCCATTACAAGTTGGCTAATTCTAAGAAGGGGAAGATTTGTTAATAGCTACCCAAATACTCGCAGAGGAATAACTCAATGGCCGCTGCTTTGTGAAGCGTTTTTTAGTGGAGCAGAATCGCGACTTGCTGAAGAGATCCATCGAGAAACTCAGAAAACTAATAATACCATGCGTACATTCTTGCTACGCCGTGTCGAACGAAAAGATAGTGATAATAATACGGGTGGGCTTACAAAACACTGTTCTGTCAGTTTGTATTACAGGGAAGAAGAGGGCGAATTAAATATAAAATATTATGATAATACTATGACTATTACTAACATAATGCAATGAGTAATATGACTATATTTCTCTTTCGATTGAGTCTATTTCTAAAAGGCTGGATTTGTGTAAAGTCTTCTAAAACTATGTTGACATTGATTGTTAGAGTTTTCAACGGATAGAGGGGAATTATGATCAATTATAAAATCATCTCTTTTTAATAGACGGGTGAATGAACTCATCGCGAACGATGTTGAAGGATTAGCGGTGCCCTTAGATATCACCACCTATTACGAGACCAGGTTGAAGTATCAGTTTTATTGTGTAACAGCTGTTCACCGTTCCAAGTGGAATGCGAGACCAGTCGCGGCAGAAATAGAAAAGTACTAGTAGTAAAAATTCAACACAACATTCAGGTTTCCCGAAAGCTTTCGATAAGTTATATTGCTACATAATTTCAAGTCATTTTTAATCTATATATATAAAAATGAATTGCTTTTCGTTAGTCTCGGTAAAACTCGAGAACGGCTGGACTGATTTGGCTAATTTTGGACTTGAATTATTCGTGGAAGTCCAGAGAAGGTTTAAAAGGTAGATAAATATGAAAATGATCGGAATTAAATAAAAATAACAATTTTGTTTTTCCTTTGATATGTCCCCCGTCGGATGGATTCCTTTTCTTTGTTTTATACAAAAGTTTAGGTATTTTATTTTATATTATATTATCGATTGAGGCACTACGAAGTCTGCCGGGTCAGCGAGTCTCAAATAAAATTATTTTTTAATTTATGCTATTGATACCTGCGGCATTTAAAAACTTATGATTAAAGTGTAGTGATTTCCTTTCATTTAACAATGAAAATCGGTAATTTTGTTTTTTTCAGAAACTCTCTTTATGATTTTTAAATACATCACTAGCATTATTTGCCAACTAATATTTCCGAACGATCGTAGTTTTTAATTAAAGCTCTTTGAATTTTAGTTAAACGTAAAACACGCAATAATAAATAACTAGGAACAGACAGACGGCTTGTGAATAATATATTAAATTTGATAATCGTTAAAAATGAATACACATACATATATTACGAAGTGAGCGCGTATAAAGCGTTGCATACATTATAGATGTTATAAAATTACTAATAAAATAAAATGTTTTCAATAATAAACATTAGGAACGCATGTTGATTTTTCGGTTGTAACTTACGTTTAACTGTTCACGACATTAACACATTCAGCAGATTAGTATATTAATATTGAGATATTTGGAATTTCAAACGCGATCACTAATCACTTTGTATTTGATTTTGTAGGTATTTTGATTCGGTAGGCAGCGGCTTGGCTCTGCCCCTGGCATTGCTGAAGTCCATGGGCGACGGTAACCACTAGCCATCACGTGGGCCATATGCTCGTCTGCCTACAAGGGCAATAAAAAAAATTAATAATAATGTAGTTTGAGGTACTTCGGAGAGTTTTCAAAAAAAACGAATAAACCAGGTGAGCTGTCAGTTTAAATACAGCCGCTATGCAAAATAACAACATGTTTGATAAAATTATTGTTCGTGAAATAGTCTTGGCCTAAGGGCGATATTAAGCTATTGAGCGAGTACACTGCCAAACATTCTACTACCAACACACCGCACTACAGCTTATCACATAATTGCAGCTTACAAAATTTATTATTTCATTGTCAGAGCTGTTTTCCAATATGTGCATTGTTGATACAGCATTCTAGTGATGACGTGCTTAATTAATATAAAGTACTAGCTGACCCGGCAAACTTCGTAGTGCTTCAATCGATAAATAAATGACCGACGGGGGACGCATCAAAGGAAAAACAAAATTGTTATGTTTATTTAATTAATTCCGAGCATTTTCATATTTATCTACCTTTTAAACCTTCTCTGGACTTCCACGAATAATTCAAGACCAAAATTAGCCAAATCGGTTCAGCCGTTCTCGAGTTTTAGCCAGACTAACGAACAACAATTCATTTTTATATATAGAGATTACATATTGAATTTCTGAAGATTTTGTGACTGTGACCATTTTTATTTAATTTAAACATTAAATATTACTTTATTTCTAATACAGAGCTTATTAATAATGAACATTCCACAATCCATACAAATTTTCGTATTTGTACCGTTACTTATAAAATCTGAAATTACTTCCGTGTTCATTTGAAATGTGTTTCTTCTATGACGCTGTTTCTATTATAATTAGCGAGTAATCCGTGTAATTTCTAATTGAGATTTCATATATTTTATTATGTAAGCAATCGAAAAATATATAATCAAGTCGAACTGCTTTAGTTCATTAGCGCTTGTTTAATTACGAACGCACTCGATACAATCTCGATTTTACGAGGCGATCGATGACCGAATATAAAAACTCGTACTCTACTTGTATTTACACTAATTTAAATTTTATCAAAAGTAAAATTATACGTGAGAAAATACAATACGCTTTTTTTATTTTTTAACTCCTTTTTTTACATTTATACATACTAGAGGTCCCGCAGTAGTCGCAATTCGACTATAATTAATTGGAATTTTAAGTTTGTACAATATTATGAATGTATTTTATACTTCTATAATCACAAATTGCGCCAAGGCTACACTATAAAAAATATTAATAAAGACAAACAATATTTAATCTATCTTCAATTTGATCACAGACGTCAAGACAAAAGTTTGACAATAAATAGTACCTATGCATGCGTGTGTGCGTCAAATACATGGTATGTGGTGTGTGTAATGTTTTCTTTATTGATTTAATGTATCTTTTATGCATTATTTAAAAAAAAAATTAGCAATGTGCACTTCTTCTCTATATTCTCTATAAGTGTGGAAAATTTCATACTCCTCCATCCGCGCAATTTTCGTAAAAAGGGATACAAAGTTTTTGCTTCACGTATTAATATATAGATAAAATAAAACAGGTTTGGTTTTGTGATGAGACTGATTGATTGTTAAAATCACATACGAGGTTTTATTATCAGAGTCGAGTTCACGGTTTTATAGTGTACAAGTACACGTTTTGATCTACGACTTCGAGAATACTACCGCCCGCCTTGAGATATGAAGTCCAATGTATTTGATCCTACGAGCTATATATGATAGCTATAGCCTAAATGTATACACGACCGAAATGAGTAAACTGGGTGATCATAACAGGTCTTATCGCTAATATAAGAAAAATGACAATAACGTTTTATTAAAATTTCATCGCTGG